AATGCTTCAATAGAAGCCGCACCCGGACTTCACCACTTTTCCTGGGGAGGGCAGCCATTTTCTTTTCAATAGAACCGGCTTCTATTACGAATTTTACGGTATATTACAAAATCAATATTTGATGTGAAAAATTTTTTTCAGATTTTTCTTTTTGAAATTAACATTTTTTTATGAAAACCTGCATGTAAGTGGGCTACTAATTTCAAAAGCTGATAGCCAGACTATAATTTAGTCAATAAGTGGTTAGGTACATGCACACAATTGCGAATAATAAATAACCAGCTCACTTTGTGTAGGACAACACATACTTAGTTATTTTGATTTCTCTGTGGAGAGAGTATTTTAATCAAAAATTTCTGGTAGTCAAGTTGGGCTACTATTATTGGAAAATAGTAGCTCTGGCACATAGATTGGAAGACTCTATCTAGGCCTTAGGCTAAAGCTAATATTGAGCCCTACTGAGGGTTTATAGCCATCTATCTATCAAATATCAGTCACATGTGGTAAACATGTATCTCAATGTCAACCAGACACGATCAAAGACACTAACCAAGGTAGAATTTGAACTAACTTTTGTAGAATTTGAATTCAAATCGAGACCAACCAATCATAGATCGGGTGAACTGTATCAAATGCTATGGTTAAAAAAATTAGAGAAAGACGTCACGATGGGGAAGATTGAGGCAAAAACAAGTCTTGTAACTTTCTCCTTGAATGACATCTTGGCAGGCAGTTGCACCACAAGTCTATAAACATTTGTACTTACCAATTGGTTTTATATTGATTACAAATACTATCTCTGCTACATTGTCTTGATGAGTTACACTGACTTTGAAACTGTTACTGTGTACATCATAGTCCCGTAAATACAGTATAACCAAATGCGTTCTATTATTACTAAGATACATGTTCTCTGGCGGCTTGCCTTCCTCCAATAATGGCACCAGATAAAGTTTATCATCATTATAGATGTGAATCCTCCGTAGCCATGTGATGTCTTCTACTGAGTATTGACCATTCACTACAATGTTGATATCTACCACTGTTGAAAGATCTCTCGTCATGCGACATGTGTTTTCAACGTATTCATCACAAAGCTCTTCTTTATCTGTGACATCAATGCTAAAACCTATTTGGAAATAAATTTTAAATTAAAAGTATACACTCAAGAGATGATTCATGAAGCAATATTGGGTCCTTCAAATTATTGTGCATTTAAAGTTTCATTTGCTAAAGCTATAAAATAGTGTTCAGATGCAAGTGTATTTACAAAAACTCA